TCTGAGGACGTGCATAAATAAGTATAAAAAATGGAACCAGGAGGAGGAGGGGGAGGGAAGTCAATTAAGCTGTATGATTATTGGGTTTGTTCTTTTTATTATCATAAAATTAATAAATTGAATAAAAAAATTTGTCCTTCTGGTATTCACAGGACCTGGGGGGCGGGGAGGGCAGTAAAGTGGTTGGGCTGGCAGCTAGAACAAAACCAAAACCAAAACCTAGGACAGGTGAAATGTGTCTCTTCTTTGGCTTCTGTCCTCCAGCATGTCCATTTGCTTTGTCTTCACACTAATGTTCATTAATTCTGTCTACTAAGCAATTGAGCCTCTAGGATTATCAGTCACAACTCCATCCAGTCCCCAGCCTGCTGCTGTGTTTGTTTAGTAGTAGAAAGAGTATTGCAGATACTATACATCCACAGACACAGATAAAAGCACTCATTTGCAAATTCCAAGGAAATGGCAACCTGGAGCACACTCAGTGCAACTCAGATTCCCCTCACATTACAGTTCACTTACAGTGGTACCTCTGGATATGAACGCTTCTGGTTGTGCATCGCTGCTGCGCTAACCCGGAAGCAGTTGCTCCCGGATATGAACTTTGCCCCGGGATGCGAGAGGAAATCGCGCCGGGAGGCGTCTCATGTTAAGAACAGTTTGAGGATAAGAACGGACCTCCAGAACGAATTAAGTTCGTATCCTGAGGTACCACTGTAGTTGCTTCTGTGAGAAGTTTCACCACTTATGTTGCCCAAATATAAATACCAAGCTCCTAATAAAAGTAGCCTTCTGAGACTCATGCAGTGAAGCTTTCAAATGGTTTTGGTGCTGACATTTAATTCAACGTGGTACAACAAGTCAAAGCAGTACCCTTTGTTTTAAAGGAGTCAGCTGACATGACTTAGACTTTCCCTACCCTTCCTGTGAAGTGCACCTGGAAAGAAGGACACGTCAGATTTCTGCAGAGATGGCTGTCTGGCTGACACTCTTTAATTTGATTTATGTCAGTTATTGTGGCAAGATTGAAAGCTGGCATTATTTGTAATAAAACAAAATACCATTTGTTTTGGAGACATATTGAAGATGGCCGTGAATATGAGGCAACTGCTGACGTGGTGATCAAGCTCATATTCCCTTGCTTTGCTACACGTGTGTGTGTTTTATTTTTATTTTACAATGAAAGGTTATGTCTCTATGGATAATTCAACAGAACATCAGGCCTTTCCAGAATTAATGGGAATGGTATAATCGATGACAAATTAAACGGTAGAAGGGTTTCTAATTAAAATTATCTCACCTCCCTTACTTGAATGCAAAATTAATATAATACAAATTTTCAAAACCATACATACTGTCGATCAAACCATTAGCATGATTGTGTGAAACCATCAGCAAACTTTTAGTGTGCAGTGCCTTTCAAGGGGACATGGGATCACAGATGCTCTGCATCATAACTAACACCTTGCCAGCCTCTTGATGGTGGCGCAGAAGTGAGGGTGGGAAATCATTCTATGCTCCTCTGGCATGTATAGGACTGGAAACATGGAAGGGTAATGAATGAGAATGTTAAGCCAGCTCCAGGGCAGGAGGCTCAGGTGGCCTCAGTGGCCTCAGAGTGCCTTCCACCAGCTTCGGCTGGTGACCCAGCTATGCCCCTATCTGGACAGGGATAGCCTAACTACTGTTGTCTATGCTCTGGTAACCTCAAGGTTGTTGTTGTTGTTGTTTAGTCGTTTAGTCGTGTCCGACTCTTCGTGACCCCATGGACCAGAGCACGCCAGGCACTCCTGTCTTCCACTGCCTCCCACAGTTTGGTCAAACTCATGCTGGTAGCTTTGAGAACACTGTCCGTCCATCTCATCCTCTGTCGTCCCCTTCGCCTTGTGCCCTCAATCTTTCCCAACATCAGGGTCTTTTCCAGGGAGTCTTCTCTTCTCATGAGATGGCCAAAGTATTGGAGTCTCAGCTTCACGATCTGTCCTTCCAGTGAGCACTCAGGGCTGATTTCCTTCAGAATGGATAGGTTTGATCTTCTTGCAGTCCATGGGACTCTCAAGAGCCTCCTCCAGCACCATAATTCAAAAGCATCTATTCTTTGGCGATCAGCCTTCTTTATAGTCCAGCTCTCACTTCCATACATCACTACTGGGAAAACCATGGCTTTAACTATATGGACATTTGTCGGCAAGGTGATGTCTCTGCTTTTTAAGATGCTGTCTAGGTTTGTCATTATTGCAAAGGGCTGCCTCTGAAGATGGTTTGAAAACTTCAACTAGTGCAGAATTCAGCGGCCAAGTTGCTCACTGAATCAAGACGGTTTGAGCATATTACACCGATCCTGGTCCAACTGCACTGGCTACCAATTAGTTTTTGGGCCCAATTAAAAGTGCTGGTTTTGACCTATAAAGCCTTAAGCAGCTCAGGACAGCAATAACTCAAGGGATCATCTTCTGAGGCCCTCCTTCGTGTGCTCCTCCTCAAGAGGCATGGAGGGTGGCAACACGAAAACGGGCCTTCTCTGCAGTGGTTCCCTGTCTATGGAATGTTCTCCCCAAGGAAGTTCAACTGGTGCCTTCATTATACACCTTTAGGCACCAGGCAAAAATGTTCCCTTTTAACCAGACCTTTAGTTGATCTTATTGACATCCAACACCCTTTTAGAATGTAGCTTTTTTGGGGGGGTACTGCTTTTGGTTTGATTTTATATGTTGTGGTCTTGTTGTGAATTGCCCTGAGACCTCGGGGTCTAGGACGGTGTATAAGTTGAATTAATAATACAGATGTACCTCGGGTTACAGACGCTTCAGGTTACAGATGCTTCAGGGTACAGACTCCGCTAACCCAGAAATAGTACCTCGGGTTAAGAACTTTGCTTCAGAATGAGAACAGAAATCACACGGCAGCGGCACAGTGGCAGCGTGAGGCCCCATTAGCTAAAGTAGTACCTCAGGTTAAGAACAGTTTCAGGTTAAGAACGGACCTCCAGAACGAATTAAGTTCTTAACCCGAGGTACCACTGTAGTAGTAGTAGTAGTAGTAATAATAATAATAATAATAATAATAATAATAATAATAATAATTTCAGTCTCCAGTTTGGGACTGGATTGGTTATGGATTCTTCAAAGCTGCAACATTGGTAGGGGTAGGGCTGCCGAAGTAGCAGTGGTAGGGAGGCAAAATCTGACATCAGATTTCCTTCTCTGATTTCTGATTGATCTCTCCATCTTTGGGAAGGGAGCTCTGATTAATCTAGTGACTTCTGGAATGCCCTTCTGGAGTCCATAGAGTTGTAGGCCAATTCTAGAATAGAAACTTTAATAGTGATAGCTCACGATTCCCAGTTCTATTGTGTCCTACGGATATTCCTACTAGGAAACAAGAGCCAACCCTGTCCACAGCATATAGAGAAATATAAAAGACTCCTAGAACCAAAACTCCTTGGTGGGCAGCGCTGGCAGAAATTGTTGCAGTGAAAAAATTAAATATGAAAGAAAATTGGGCTACTTATAAAACTGTATTAAAGGAAGAAAATGGAGAATTGGAATTAAAGGATTATACAGAAATCAAAGCTCATATTAGTGATTGGTTCCAATATATTCAAATTAAGTATAGATTAGCGAAAGATAAAAGATAGGATTTGAAAAAGAAATATCTAAATTTGATAAATATTTAATACAAGAAAAATTAAAAAAAATCTAAATTATATAATCTGATCTTAGAGTGGGAAACAAAGGATGAACTGTTAAAGCATCCATAATTAAATGGGTGCAAGATATTGGGAAAAATATTTTGCTTGAACAATGGGGAAAATTGTGGAAAGAAGATATCAAATTCACTATGTGTTATATATTGAAAGAAAATTACCTTTAAATACAACATAGATGGTATTTAACACCTGAAAGAATAGGAAAAATGAATAAAAATTGTAGTGATGTCTGCTGGTGATGCAACACTGAAAAAGGTACTATGATGCATATATGGTGGAACTGTTTAAACATCAAACAATTTTGGGAAACAATATATAATGAAATGAAAAAAATGTTCATGTATTTATTTAGGAAAACATCAGAAGGTTTTCTATTGGGAATAGTATCAGGAAGTCTAAAGGAAGAAGACAAGACATTATATTTATACGCAACAGTAACCACAAGGCTATTGATTGCGAAAAATTGGAAGAGTGGTATTATACCAACAAAAAAAGAGTGGCTTGCCAAATTATTGGAGTATTACAATATATCCAAAACAATGGGAGAAATTGGAAGGATCTCAAGAGAGAAGATAGACAAGGACTGGAAGGTGTTTAAAGGATACTTGCAAAATCATATTGAAAAATCAGAACTATTAGAATAAACAATACTGAAATACTAAATAAGATGGATAACAATGTGTAAAAGAAAAAGGAGTAGAAAATTGGTTTAAAAGTGTGAAAGAAAGTAATAGAAGTGGAAAGAAATTGCAATTGAGTAGATTGGAAGTCTAACACAGGGTGGGGTGAGGGGTGAGGGATGGTGGTGGGAAAAGGAAGTATCTGTGGGATTGAGTGTGGGTATGTATGAATATTTTTAAGGATTGTATGAAATGTATGTTTGCATATTCGTAATATGTATGTATTAATGTTGAATGATTTTAATAATAAAATAAAATAATTAAAAAAAAAAAGTGTGTGGAAAGACTAAACACACAGAAGAATCCCAGGGACCAGATACATGTTGCTGCTGCTTGTTGTTTAGTCGTTTAGTCGTGTCCGACTCTTCGTGACCCCATGGCCCAGAGCACGCCAGGCACTCCTGTCTTCCACTGCCTCTCGCAGTTTGGTCAAACTCATGCTGGTAGCTTCGAGAACACTGTCCAACCATCTCGTCCTCTGTCGTCCCCTTCTCCTTGTGCCCTCCATCTTTCCCAACATCAGGGTCTTTTCCAGGGAGTCTTCTCTTCTCATGAGGTGGCCAAAGTATTGGAGCCTCAGCTTTAGGATCTGTCCTTCCAGTGAGCACTCAGGGCTGATTTCCTTCAGAATGGAGAGGTTTGATCTTCTTGCAGTCCATGGGACTCTCAAGAGTCTCCTCCAGCACCAGAATTCGAAAGCATCAATTCTTTGGCAATCAGCCTTCTTTATGGTCCATCTGGACCATAAAGCTGCTGCTGCTACCCACATTGTCCTCTGAAATTGATGTATGCATGGCTGTGGGTGGCATGCTGTTATAGCATGCCATTTCATTACCCAGAAAAAGGCTCATTGGGTAGCTTCAGCTGGGCATGCGATGCCTGTAGTTTAACCTTGCCCTTGTGCAAAGGTAGTAACATCTGTACCTGTTTCAATGTGCTTTCCCCTTGTGCCTAGTATGCTTCACCTCATAACTTTGTAGCTTGACAATTTGCAGATCTGGAGAACCTAATAAATTAGAACATATAGGTGATCATAGGAAGGCACAGGTATATTTATCCTTCAGTAAGGATATGTTCCCATGTAAGGTGCATGTATGTCTTTATGTCTTTTCTTGCAATTCCTGCCTGAACTAAATAATAAACTAGTGCATGCCTAAATGAAATCATTTATGTGGAAGTTAGTGGACTAATTTTAGATGCCTCCATCTGAACCGTAATCAAAATAAGCAGCAAGTTACTGAACAGGTGTGATCTGTCCAGTTCAGTAAATATTTGATGCAACATTTGGCATTTGAATTCATTACATTATGGGACACTGTTTTGTTTGGAATGCTACAGTGCATTAGTTCCTTTGAAGCTGGGTGTCTTCCCCCCACTTCAGGTTGTTAAATATTTGATTAAAAAGGACCATAATTGCTTACTTACGTAATAGTTCTTGGAAGCGTATAAAGAGTCTTGCTGTACTAATGACTGAACAAACAGTATGCATTTTTGCAAGACTGGAGTTGCATATTAGTCTGCTGTAGCCATTACAAAATTATTTTGTAGCAGTAGCTGACACTTTGGCCAGTTTTCTATTAAAAGCTTAGATTTCTCTCCACATTAAATAAATCTCCTCCATACACCATTATTTCCCAAAGCACTTTGTGGCAGTTATTTGCTTAAACCATTTCATTCCATGGAAATTCAAATGCAGTAAGCAATTCTTGACTTGGTTTGAATTCTACTCGCCATGTTAAAAACAAATTAGGCAACTCTTGTAATTTATAATTATGCTTAGAGAGGTTGTTTTCCAAATACCGTATTTTTTGCACCATAACACTCACTTTTTTCCTCCTAGAAAGTAAGGGGAAATGTCTGTGCGTGTTATGGAGGAAATGCCTACGGGTGGCATGCCTACAGATTTTCCTCCTCTTAAAACTATGTGCGTGTTATGGTTGGGTGCGTGTTATAGAGCGAAAAATACGGTAGCTATAAAACACATTTAAAAAGAGAATCAATATCTGAAACATTTGGTGCAACATTGGTTAAATGCTGCATCCCATCAGTGGCAAAGCTTGGTCTGGAGCATCAGTGTGTGCTTTGGCAGGACATAGGAACATTGTCACATTAGATGGATTCTGTAAACTGAATTCATTTTTAAAAAATCAAAACCCCAACCCATTTCTAATTTCTCCTGCCGTAAACACATGGGTTTGTCTGCCTCAAACAGTACCACTCCACAGGAGAACTTGATGGTGTATAGTTTGATGAAAATGTTGATCCAGTACATGGCAGTATAAGGGACGTGGGTGGCGCTGTGATCTAAACCACTGAGCCTCTTGGGCTTGCCAATCAGAAGGTCAGCGGTTTGAATCCCCGTGATGGGATGAGCTCCTGTTGCTCTGTCCCAGCTTCTGCCAGCCTAGCAGTTCGAAAGCACACCAGTGCAAGTAAATAAATAGGTACCGCTGTGGCGGGAAGGTATACGGTGTTTCCGTGCACTTTGGTTTCTGTCACAGTGTCCCATTGTGCCAAAAGCTACTGTTAGGTCCATCATAAGATGTCTGCCAGCTTCCAACCACAGATATCAGCAGCCTTCAAGCAAGCAAACTTGCCTGATTATTGCTCCATAGCATCCCACTGCCAGAGGATTGCCTCCTTCCATTCACCAGTTTTCATCTTCCAAGTGAAAGAAACCTGGGCAGTGCTGAATGTCACATCCATTGCCAGATGTGTCCTGCTGGAAATAGAAAAGGGCTTTCCCCTTGGCCTGCCTTTATATCCACTCAGTTGCCAAGTGCCTTTGTGACATCACAAGAAACCCACAGCCAACGACAACAGCTGGGGAGGCATCATCTTCATTGCTTTGAGCCTCACAATGGTGGGTGGACCTATCATTGATTATGTGCTTGTTTATTCAGGAAGCGGGTGGCGCTGTGATCTAAACCACCGAGCCTTTTGGGCTTGCCAATTAGAAGGTTGGTGGTTTGAATCCCCGTGATGGGGTGAGCTCTGCTGTGAGCTCTGGTTTCCGCCACGGTGTTCCATTGCATCAGAAGTGGTTTAGTCATGCTGACCACATGACCCGGAAAGCTGTCTGTGGACAAAGGCTGGCTCCCTTGGCCTGAAAGTCAGAAGAAGAAGAAGAGTTTGGATTTGATATCCCGCTTTATCACTACCCGAAGGAGTCTCAAAGCGGCTAACATTCTTCTTTCCCTTCCTCTCCCACAACAAACACTCTGTGAGGTGAGTGGAGCTGAGAGACTTCAAAAAAGTGTGACTGGCTCAAGGTCACCCAGCAGCTGCATGTGGAGGAGTGGGGAAGCGAACCCGGTTCACCAGATTACAAGTCAACTGCTCTTAACCAATACACCACACTGGCTCTCAGAACCCGCAAACGTCATATAAATCCATTTAAAACAGATTCTTACTCCATCCCTTGTATCCACAAAGCACTCAGCTCAGACTCCACCTCTGCAGGAGAGTTGTCCAAAAAGCATGCAGACTTTTAGTGATATAAACATTCTTTTGCCAAATCCCTAACCACTCATTTACATCAATTCAGCCAGCCAATGTACGCATCACAAAATTGGCACTTTTCATCATCATCTTTCTTCATAATCTTTAATGGGTATTTTTTCCCTATTAAAGGTTATATTTGGAAAATGCAAAGCAAGTCTTTAGATGGGAACAGTGCTCCGGAGGGTGATATTAAATATGATAATATTCTTTCGAGCTACCAATCACTTTCAATTGTACTACTTCTGTAATAAATCACCAAGGAACTAAATTCTGTTTCTTCTTAGCACAGAATGCAGGCTTTGAAATATAGGAAGATGTCTTTTATGACATCAGAACATTTGTTCATCTAACCCTATATTGTCTGACTAGTAGTTGCAACTCTCCAAAGTCCCAATCCGGGGCATTGAAGGGCCTTTGGTTGGGTTGGGGGTTCTCACTTTGCTTATCTAGATTCCTCCAACCACCATCATCAGTGTATTTCCTTCCCTGGCTTCCTACTGCATAGTTCTTCCCTCGCCTTGCTACTTGCCTTGGTCTAGATCATAGCTACCCTTGTTCGACTGAGAGAGAGAGCACACTGCTGTCGCAGCACGCAGCTCCATTTATCTTCTAAGAAACAGCTGCAGCAGAGACAGACAGACAGAAGTGCAATCTGGCACTCAGTTGCTTGCCCAGAGGTAGCTGCTATGCATTCCAGGTGTGTTGCAGATTACATAGCTGTTGCAGACACCCACCCCTTATTAAAGTACCTTTTCAGCATCAGGCAAAGATTTCTCCATTCACCATTAGGATGCTCTTGTTTTAGTGTTGCAGTATTTTAAATTTAGTACCAAAAGAATGTTTCGTCTCCATCACCTGGATGTGTTATAGCCATGTGAGATTGCTCTCATGTTTTTATGTCTGTAGATGATTAGAGCTGTGTTGTGGTGCCTCGGTTTATTTGGCTGTTATTCTGTGATTTTGGTTAAGCTGTTTTATTTGCCACTCAAGAGAGCATTGTTACAGAGCAACTTGTAAATATAACATTATAAATATATATCCTCTTTCAGTGGTTTCACTTTGGGGTAAGATGTGGAAGCTTGCTTGTAAATGCTACTGTACAGTTGCTCAGGATGAAAATGCCTGACACTAAATAAAATGTGAAAATTGAATGGGACAACTAGCACACGGAAGGGTGACTGAGACACTGACATTCTTGTCATTAGTAGAGGCAAATTTGCTCCACCCTCTCCACCCCTTACCTGAAGGGGAATCCCCCTTAGGATTCCCTAAGGGGAGGGGCAAGGAGGTCACCAGGGTATGTGACCAATCACGGGGGAGCCGACCTTGGCAATTTAAGGCTCCCCTGACCCCTACTCATCCTTTTTCTGCTCTGTGGATCAGTTGAGTATTCATTTGTAGTTGGACAAGGAACCTGGTAACTTTTCCTCTTCTTCAATTTGACAGTTTGGTAAGGGAATGTCTGGGCAGATGATCTTTTGGGCCAAGGTCAAAATCAGAGTCAGAGGAATATTGGCAGAAGGGTCTGAGAGCAAGCTAATGGTGCATAGTGAAGCAATTGCCAGTTTTGCTTTGTGCCATAAAGCACAATTCTTGCAGCCACAAAAGACAGCAGCTGTCCTCTCGCAGCGAATGGAAAGCTGGACAGCTATTTGACATCAAGCTCTCTACCATACATTTGAGTGTAAAACTGAAACAGAGAAAGCTCAGCTTTGTGCCTCCATTATAGAGCATACCAGGCAGCCATATGTATGAGGTTGTCAATGTTTTATCACGTGATTCTGAAACCAAGGAGAGCTAATAGTTCAATGAATATGCTTGTATGGATATGTACTCATGTATCTCATGTAATAAGACTAGAAACAACCAATGAGATTATAGAAATCTACTCTCAATAGACAGGATGCAGGTGGCGCTGTGGTCTAAACCACTGAGCCTAGGGTTTGCCGATCAGAAGGTCGGCAGTTCGAATCCCTGCGATGGGGTGAGCTCCTGTTGCCTGGTCCCAGCTCCTGCCAACCTAGCAGTTCAAAATCATGTCAAAGTGCAAGTAGATAAATAGGTACCGCTCCGGTGGGAAGGTAAATGGCATTTCCGTGTGCTGCTCTGGTTTCACCAGAAGCGGTTTAGTCATGCTGTCCACATGACCTGGAAAAACTGTCTGTGGACAAATGTCAGCTCCCTCAGCCAGTAAAGCAAGATGAGCGGCACAACCCCAGAGTCGTTCGCAATTGGACTTAACTGTCAGCGGTCCTTTACCTTTACCTTTTTACTCTCAATAGAGGCAAGTATATTGGACGAGGTGGATTGAATCCTTGACCTAGGACAAGGTGTTTTGATACTGATACTCAGCCTGCAGCTTCCCTTGGGGGACGTATGGCCGTCATAGAATGAGTATTGATCTTGCAGCTGTGTGTAAGAAACAGAAAGGCATATAATTTATGAACCCTGTCTAGGTCCATTGCAGATATTAGCATGCTGTTATTAGATCTGCTACCAGAAAGTGGTTATGCAGGTAGGTTGCATTTGTGCTTTTTGCAAGGAAGGAAACTCCATTGGAGTGATTGCTTCTGAGTTCTTCCTTAAAGCATCTCTTGCAGTACTGAAAGTTACTTGGAGTCAATAAGATACAGATACTTGACCTGACCTGAGTGAGTCAACCACTAATGAAATTCTTATTTGTAATTTTTGCAGTAAAACTCTCAGGTGGTCTAACCTTCTGCCATAAATGCACTGACCTCTAACCATTTTACTGTCAAAACTCACTCTAATTATTTAAATTTGTATACCGCCTTATACCCATAGATCTCAGGGTGGTTCACAACATAAAATCACAATATTAAAACCCCCCATAAAATACATAATAAAGGCAAAATCAAAGACAACTATTATGGTTTGAAGTGAATATATCTTTAACATGTTTTTTTAAAACCCATCCTATGAAAAGTATTTAAGTATATTTTGTCCTTAAGTATATTAAGTCCTTTTGACTTTCAAAACAGTTTGGAAACCAAGGCGCGGCTTCTGATTGGCTGCAGGAAGCTCCTTCAGCCAATTGGAAGCCACGGAAGCCACGGAAGCCAAGACGGTTGTTTGGGTTCCAATGAACGTTCGCAAACCAGAATGATCACTTCTGGGTTTGTGGCGTCTGGGAGCCAAAACGTTCGACTTGCAAGGCGTTTGACTTCCGAGGTAGAACTGTATAGCTGCATTCAATCAAATATGTTGCGATTTTTAAAAAAAGTTAATAAAGCAAAGCTCAACAAGATTTCAGCTCATTTTCCATCAGATTCTGATCCCAGTGCCTCTGTAATAGCTGGAAACCTCTCCATTAAGTTCAACAGGCTTGGTTCGGCTTCTCAACTGTTTTAGCTGTGTTGTCTTGACAAATCAGAGAAAGTGTTTGTTTAAAAAATAATCAGAAAATAAGGCCCCACTAATTGCACACAAATTGCACACTAATGATTGTTTTAATATCTACTGTGTTTATAATTATAGAGCCATCCCCTGCCCCACAAAGTCTCATATTCCATAATAAGAGTTCCAGTAATTAAATACAGATTACTGTTGGATTTGGAAGGTTATGACAATAGATTTGGTTGGCACGCATATCTATGGTATAATAAAACAAAAATCCATAAAGGATTTGGTAATCACATATTTAGAAGATCTTTATAATGAAGTATGGGACAAGTAAAAAAACTTATTAGAACGTAAAACACTGTGGTGGTTATCTCCATTAGAAGCTATGAGTGTGAAAAAGATAAATATGAGTAAAAATTGGGTTACCTATGAGAAATTGTTGCGGGGGGGGGGGGAGGAAATAAATGGAAAATGAAACCATATGAAGAGGTTAAAGAATATGTAAATGATTGGTTGCACTATTGCCAAGTCAATGAAATATATAAAGAGGATTTAAAGGAAAAGGATTTGGTGATATAAAAAAAAACAAAATTTGAAATAGAAATATTAAACAATGAATGTAAAACAATGTATAAAATACTGTTGGAATGGCATTTGAAAGATGAGGAAGTGAAATCGGTAATGATACACTAGGCAAAAGACTTTGGATATAATCTACAGCTTGAAGAATGGGAAAGGTTGTGGAATGAAAGGATAAAATTTACAGCCTGTAATGCTTTGAAAGAGAATATGATGAAAATGATTTATAGATGGTATATTACACCAGTGAAATTAGCTAAAATGTATAAGACAAATAATAAATGTTGGAA